GGAACACAGCCAAAGGATGGCAGGACATGCTTCAGGCTTAGCTGGTTTTCTTTACTTGGTCAAGGACAGTGCAGTAAATGCTCTTGTTATTTTTCAATGATTAATTCCAATTCAACCAAAAGATTGGTGAGACCCACCCGTAACAAAAGCACAAGGGCCAGGGGCTATCATCCCTCCTTCCCTCCGTGCAAGCTCATACAAGCAAGCTGGGCATGACATTGCATGGTATGGAATGCTTCACTGGCCAATTTAGCCCTCAATCCCAAGTCTAAGTTCAAATCATAAGGGGAGTTGTGGACTCTCTGTCCCGGCCATGCTCCCCCCTATCACACTGGCAAGAACACGGCAGCTGAAAAGTTCTTGAGGTCTCAGTGCCAACTATAAACATCAGTGCACTGTCAGCGTTCTGCTCATAACAAGTCCCAGACTAAAACCAAAACACAGAGCTCTTCCAGCTGCTAAAAGGAAGAACTAACTGTCCCAACCGAAACCAGGACACACCTCCAGGCATGATGAGAGCAGGCTCGACAATGATTTTACCCCAGTCGTTTTGGCTCATGGAGCCAAAAGCAGAGTGGGAGACTTCAAAAGAGCATGCCTTCCTCGGCTGACCACAAGTTGCATCCACCTCTGCCTGTCTTTTACCCTCCCTGAAGACAACAAGATAACACATGATCAGGAAGCACAATAGACAGCCTTCGTCTGAAGTCAAAAATCTTTCATGTCTAAAAGAATGTTTTGATGCCTTCATTTTAGAAAAACAAAACACAGATAACCTGTTGTTTCTAAACCTCCATAGTATCTTAGTCCTCTTCTGTGCTAGAGGCGCAGGAGTCATGGAGCAGCAGTTCACATCTCCACAGGGCCAGGTGACAACTGGAGCAAGGAGTGCACAGCACGCCATGTCATTGCCTTCTCTCCTCACCAGTCTCACTCATGGGCTTTTATTTCCTGCAGCCTGAGAAGCATTAGAAGGCTTTGTGGGCATGTCCTGCTTATGAGCTATGGTTAGAGGACCACTGTCCCCAGATCAGAACAGGTCAAATGAAAGCAGCCTTAGTGCAGCCAGGTGATGCAGACCCATGCATGACTACAGAATCATTTAGGTTGGAAGAGACCTCTAAGATGAAATCGAACTGCAAACCCAACACTGCCAAGTCCACTACTAAACCATGTCCTTACATCTACACATCTCAAATACCTCCAGGGATGGTGACTCAA